GCGGAAAGCTCTCGGCATATTCACTGTGGTGTGAACCAGACTCCCATTCTTATACTACAGCTTTTCCAGCGTGTCTAACACACAATACGCTCTGTGGTTTGATGTCTCCACACAACTTTCTCTTCTAACCCTTTCTCTGACAGGCTTGTGAGAACATGCCCATGCGTTTCCAGCACTGAGGGGATTTTAAGGGATTTTGCTCTCCACAAACACAAGGTTAGCCATCCCCAGCCGCAGAGCGATCAATATTTAATATGTTTTCTTCGTTAACGTCCATTTTGCCAGACACGTTGGAGGGCTGGGAAGGCACACCAGGCAGACCCCTGATCTGGTCGGGCAACCTGTGGGAGGCCATGAATTCTCCCCCTCGCCTGCTCTGACCTCTTGAAAGAACAGCGGCCTTCCCAGAATGCTTTGCTGCTTTCATGTTCCCTGTGAGCAGGGAATCAAAGACAGGCAATGAATCCCAACTGTATCCAGCAAAAGTCTGTGACCACTACAGAGAAATAATGTGGTTATTGTTGAGAATGCCAGGCTGGCTGGGGGCCTCTTACAAAGGAAAATTACTTGCAGGGACGTCAATAATGATACTTTTAATAAATACGTTTCAAATAAGAGAATGAGTGCAAGGTGTGACCGTGCTCTTGACAAGGGAGTGCTGCCCTATTGGCAAGCCAAAGCTGATTGGTGCAGAGAGAGGACCTCTGTTTGACTTTAGCCAATGGTGCGACACTTCCTGTACAATCGTTTCTGGGGTAATGGCCACTATGGGCTAATTGCTTTGGGCAGTGGTTGGTCTGTTTTGACATCCACAGTGAAAATGAGCAGAAAATCTGTCTGTTCCATATCAATGAGTATTTTTACTACTGCTAATGTGACTTTGTTCCACAGCTGAGTGGGCTGGCACCTGCTGAATGGAAACTAGCCAATTACACACAGAGTGTCTCTAATTTTCTGATTCTATTAGCATGCCTCAGAGCATTCTAGTCTAATTGCAAACTACTTCGCCCGTTAGCTCCCTGATTAATCATTGCCCATCTGTAAGCCATCGGAAAACTTAGTGGAACGAATTTTTTTTTTTTTTTTTTTTTTTTTTTTAAAGAATGCCGGGAGATTGGAGAGTCAAACTGGTTCGACTGTAGTAGGCTATAAATCCCCTTGGCTATTTTTTCTAATCTGTATCTAAATGGGGTCTACGAAGGCGTGCTTAAAAAGAGAAGCCAACTTACCACCTCTGCTTCAGTCAAACTTTGATACTTGCATGTAAGAGATTTTCCCGCGTTTTACGTTATCTGCACAGGTTACCCTTTGCCTCTGGATGCCGGTATGTACAAAAAAGTAAAAAATAAACATATACTGTGAGAGTTATTAGTGTACGTCCAACATAGAAACTTGGATAAAGTTGTCCCCCAGTCCTTCATGGATTTAATGTATCACACCTCGGTCACAGTAGAATAAACACATTTTTTCCTGCAGCCCACTGTCAATGACGAGGTTGCTAGCTCCAGTTGTGTGACGTTAAACACAATATTCTACTCATTTTCCCTAATGACAAGATATAAATTAAAGGTAAATGTAATGAATATAGTGCCGGAATGCAATGATGATGATTAATAACCAAGAAGGATCCAAATTCAATATGGGCCCTCTGATTTAGCTATAATATGCATGCTTTATAATAGGTTATCGACTCCTGCAAGGTTCACGGAGGCCGTCGCGTCTTCGCTTTGCCCCCGTGTGGCACCAGTTTATTTCAGGTGTCCTGGGTCCAGTCACCCTAAGCCTCTCCATCAATAACTAATCTTTACACCTTTATCTCCTTTGAAACTCCGAACAAAGAACACCAGGCCCCTTTTTCTGCCATTAATTATTCTGGGATCATACAACATTTTCCCATGGAAATCAATACAGGTGATATCCACTGGCCGTGAAATGCGCTGCTCGGCAAACTCGCCCTATTAGACGTATCGATTCCCCTAGTTACCGGAGAGCTCGTTTGGCTTTACTGCTTGCAAGCATCAGATGTTGAATTTAAATGACTAAGATAAACTTTTAAAATCAGAGTCTATAGCCATGATGGGATTCTAATGGTGGGGGCCGGAGGGGAGGGGTTGGGGGGTGACTTGGAATTTTCTTAAAAACGTACAATATGGAATGGAATTCTGGGATGCGGTCTAGCGGTTTGAATGCCAGAAAGCACCGATTTTTTTTTTACTTTTGGTTACTACAATCCAAAGGAAAAAAAAGCCTGGTTTTATAAATGGAGAAAAATGGGAGGGGCTTGAGCCGCATTGCCGTGGATGCAAGCAACCTCAGCCACTGAGAGACGTCTCAATTATGAAGTGACAAGTCACAATGGCCATGGCATCATTCCCCCTGCACACGCGCTGCCCTCTCTGTCCCGTGTCTGCCCTCCCGTCCATGCCCCCTGTCAGGGGGAACAAACGTCTGCAGTTACGGCTCGGATAGCTGGCAGTGATGCGTGATGCTCGAGGCGGGCAGCGGCTGGCGTGACGCCGAGATTTGGCAGGGGCGCTGCGGCGTAGCGTTTTAGCCTCCCCCAGTTCTGAAGTCTTTTGGACGTTTCTCTTTTGTTTCCAGAACTTCGTGTATGTGTATTGCGTACATTTCCCTCTCACGCCGACAGAGGTTACTTCTGCACTTAAATCCTCCTTGTAAATATTACCTGGGAATTCTGGCTTGTGGTGTCTCTTTCTCTCTCTCTCTGTCATTCTTTTCCTATCTAGCGATGTGAGTGACGGAGCGGAGTGAGATGTCTACACACCCTGCTTGCCTTTATTTTTCCACAATGCGTTAGTTAACCTGAAAGTGTTAAGATTTCTCTTTGTTAATTTTTAATGTTGCCTGTCGGGGTACTTCCTTGGATACTTGCAATGGATGCATCCTCAAATGCAATTCTAAAGCCAGAGGAAATTAGCTCGCAAAACAAAGAAGAAAACTTTATTGAGCATTACAAAACCTTGTAATTAGATGTTACAGTGCCTGGAGACTGCGATGCACATTTATTTATTTAAATAAAAATTGTGTGTAAGAAGCTTGGCCTTTGCATATTGCCTTTGGTCAGAGTTCTGCGTTCTGCTTATCTGAGCCGCTGCTAATGACACGGATATTAGAATGTGAGTAACTGGAGCATCGCGCTGCCGTTTCTCCTGTAACGTGCTTCGTATACTGGTGACTTGTTCTGTAACTATTCGTAGTGTTTTATTTCGCTTTATTCACTTAGCCGTCTCTAGGAAGGAAGCAGTCAGACATTGGTGACAGTGCACATCGCCAAGCTGCCTTTAAAGGGCCTTTAAAGGATCCTCTCGTTCGAGTGTCGTCGGCAGCTCTATTTCGGGAGATTTGTGAATGTGTGTAACTGAGGAGCAGGCCCACGCTCGTGCTGAAGTGAAATCCTTTATAAAGCTGGTGGGTCTGTAGGCTGGTCACCTCGGTAAGGGTGGGGGGGGGGGGGGGTGGTTCTGGAGTCGCCCCAGGTGAACAAGATTCCCATTGCCTGGCGTGACCCCTTTCCCCCGTGCGTGCAAACGGCATGCCGGCCCCACTCTGTCTGGGCAGGGTGCCACCCTGCCGGCCCACTACCCGTCAAACGCCCGGCTTGGGTGCCGGGTCCTCGGGACCCACGGCCAGCGACCCTCTCCGGCTCCCCGGCTGCCACATCACACTGGTCTTTCTTTTCCTCCAGACAAAGACCTCATCAGCTCCTGAGCTGTAAGCCCCGTTTGATTTGTCTCACCCATGTGCTTCCCTTCCTCCCAGCCTCTCACATCCAGAAGCCCCCACTGCTGAGTCCAGCAGCCTCTCCTCTCTCTCCACGCATACACAGCTCATCGGCGCGTCTTCATTAACCTTTATTGCTCACACGCCTCACCCGTCGTACCCGGCAGATTAACCAACCAGTTTACATTCTCAGATTACACGAGCAGACGCCATGACAGCTGTAACTAAGACAGCAGTGACTAATATGTGCTATTAGTGTACTGTGGTGATGAAACTGGATTTATAAAAAGGGTCTGGACAGGTGACCCAGACCATCTTTAATTTAACACCAGATAAAAAGACAGAAATTTCCTTAATACAATGTCTGGCTGTTGCCTGAAATCATGTATAAATTGATGTGTGAAGTGATTTAGAAAATAGCTGTTTGATTTACATCCAGCAGAGCTGGACTGGGAGTAAAAATCAGTGCTGGACTTTTGGGTGCCCCACGAGCCCATGGTCATACATTTTGCTGGCTCACATTCCTATCAACCCAGCAGAAAAATGCCCAGTATATCAGACGGCCAATGTAGCCCTGACCTGCATTGACAGGCACCAGGATTGTGCTGTGCGACCCGAAACTCATCGCTTATGAGAAGAATCTTAATAAAACATGCAGGACTCATATTAAATATTATCAGTACTCACAGAGTCACTCCCTGTCTTGTGCAGATAGTGATTTTTGATTGTTACTGAATAAATAACCAAAGAAATGACATGAGACTAATCGTTGTATTTTCCGGCACTGCATCGTCTCCCTGCTGGGGAAAGCCTGCAGCATCCGTGGAGTGATTTCTGGATGCCGGTATGTACATATTTATTTAAATTCCCCCAACCCCCCCCCCCCCCGACCCCCCCATATGCCCAGAGAGCCGCCTGTGGGAACGTATCCGCCGGCCCAGAGTCGATCATTAACTCGGCTCGTTCACGCAGCCAGTTTGTTCCTGAAATGGAGTTTAATATTTATACGGCCGGATGAGGAGGGCGAGGGAGGGGGGATAAAAGGCGAGGGAATAAAAGGGGGGCGTCAGATCGGAATGAGGTAGGAGTGGTCCCCGGCCAAGAGGTCACCCCCAAGCTATGCTAGTCGTGACCGCCGTGGGCACTGAACCGAGACTAAGTTCGGTGGAGCCTGGCCATGAACTGGAGCTATGCCAAGGCACAGAGTTCCCTCCCCTTTTATTTAGAGGTCTAACATTTTCATTAGGACCACTCAGCAAGCGGGGGTCGGGGATTCGACTGCGCTACATGGGTGCCATTACTCCACCCCCTCCACGCCCAGCCCACCTCCCCCACGGACATCCTCAGCGTCACTGCAGAAAACTAGTAATCTGCTGGCTGCTGTCTGATCATGTGCAAAGTCAGTTTTTTAAGCAGAAGAGCAAATGAAGGTAGATAGTTGAGTTAAGCTGGTCGTCCTGGGGAGTTTTGCTATATTAGAACATGTCAGCAAAGGCTGGACCGGAGGGTCACTGCTGTTCCCTAGAAGTACAATCATGTAAAACTGGTGAGTCACATGTGACCGGCTGTCCGTCAGAGGTTTGACTGTGAAAGACATTCAAATGGTTACGATTTTGCTTGGATTTAGAAATATACTGTTGAAAGAAACCTGTTTTTTGTTGTCTTCATTTGAACGTTGACATATTCGTCTAAATACATTTCATTGTTACCTACTAAAACGTGTTTCTTCTTTTGGTTTTAGTGGAATGATGAACTCACTGGCCAGTGCATCAGGTGTCCCTGCTCAGTATTGCAAACAGCCTGATCTTCCATACAGTGAATCACCTATAGCTACGAATGAATACATCCAGCACACAAACATGCCCCAAGGTACGTGATGCAAGTCTTCGGCGCTGTGCCAGACGTGGTGCTTCCAGCATTTCAGAAACAGCCACCCTCTAGGAATGCAGCACCTGGAGTTTACAAAGACAAAAAAACACCTATATGACTTATTGCTGAAAATGCCTCGTTGATAATAGAGGTTCGCGGAGAAAAAGTTGACCGGAAGGCCTCAAGTACAAACATAACAGGTCAGTGAAGCAGTGGTGCACAGAAAGGCTTCTCCGGGTGCAGAACTCGTCTACATATGGAATGGTTCTGCAGAGACTAGGGGGTGCTATCTAACACCACAGAGGTCCCTAGGAGTGTGGCCACGGACACATACTGACTTCCATATGGGGTTTAGCGAACAACGAGACTTTACGGCTAGTGTTATACTTCAAGATATTTTAATACAAAATTGATAATTATCTCTCCTTTAATTATATGAGAAATTGATTTTTTCCACAGTAAGAAATACTTCGAATATAGGCGTCTCAAACTCTGCAGGAAAGTACGTTATGGATTTTTACTTCAACTACTCCTCTTGATTGCTCAGAATAGTATTGATGTTGCTCCTTGTTTAACTTTTTAATGGGGACTCTTTGTGCCTAATATCTTGCAAACAGAGTATTTTATTTAAGTGATGTCACAGAAAGTCATAAGTATAAATAGTGTGCAGGATTAATTGCTAATTGGATCAATTAAGCAAGTTAAATGGCCTGGAATGAGAGACACCGTACGTTCAGCCCTCTGAGGACTGTGTTTCAGACCCACAGAGACATAATTAACTTCTCTAATAGTCTTTGCGAAATCTTCACACTGGAAGTTGGTTAAAGAGAAATCTTTGTTCTGACTTTTTTCTATATTCAGGAATTGAGATGATTAATTGTCGTGCGTCGGTACCGAAGCTAACAGAAACGGGCTCGTTATCTGCGGGATTATTCTGGTCATATAAAATCTCGCAAACGGAAATCCGGCTGACAGGAATGGGGCATGTTTGGAGTGGGGTGGTGTCAGATCTGTCACGGGCGGTCGTCCCTCAGCCGATGGCGCCGGGAGTGGATCTGGCATGCGACCAACGGTGACACATTGGGGTGAAAGGTCACTGTGGATTTCAGCAAATCGCCGCGGACATAGCATCAGATTAAACCAGCAGGGAGATTGCCCCTCCAACCTTTACCCGATAAGACCCTTGAAATCTCTTGCGATTCTAGACTTGACTCCTTCATCTGCGATGTTAGCTGTACTAATTACTGCCCGATAGCAGTGTGGTGCCAGACAATAATCGTTTAGATGTGTCAAAGATGTGCCGCAACAGCTGGTGTCACCCTCAATTAACGTTCGCTAAGTATTTTGCACTTTTCTTTTTGCACTTTTCTTTTTGCACTTTTCTTTTTGCACTTTTCTTTTTGCACTTTTCTTTTTGCACTTTTCTTTTTGCTTACCTTTATGTCATTTTTAAAAATTTGTGTGGCAAATGCTAACAGAAAAAGTGTCTCTGTGTATCCCAAGAATTTACCACTAAAGGTTTTCAGAAGCACTCGGGCCGACGAGTGGGGGGGGGGGGGCTGGGGCTGATCCTTTTCACTGTGAGGCTCAGTAAGCTCCATAATTAGTGGTCATGTGATCGACGATAGTCAGGCTGTTGCCCCTGGCCAAATCCCTGCCCCCCAGGATTCGTATCCTGCTCAGCCCCATGTGACCTGGGTGAGGGACCGCGTGAAATAATCCTGCGTCCGACATCGGCGTGCATCTGCACATCCTCGAAGCGACAGACTGCGGCGAGAGGGGCCGCGGACATACAGACGAAAAGATGTAATCTGCAAGCTGCACTGTAACTTTTGGCAGACAACAGGAGCACAAATCAGGGTGGCAAATCACCTCCCATGGCTAATTAGATAAGAGCTGTTTATGGTTCTGCATGGTTTTTCGAGAAGCTTTGGCCAATTTACAAATAGGGAAAGAAAAACAAATAAATTAAATGAATAGAAATGAAACCACCAGAAATCCACTTGACAGGCATGCAGATGGATCGTTTTTATTAAGATAAAAATTATTAAAATATGATCTGTGTGCAAATTACATCGCAATTACCTTTAAAAAAAATAGAGATGCACTGAAGCATTAAGGATGATTTTAAGCCCAAGATTTGCCATTTTAGCTATGGTACCGGTTCCTGCCCCCCCTGGTCAGTTAGGCACAACCATCAGAGAGGGTGCTGCTGCTGTGGATTCAGACAGTACGATGGCCTCTAGAATGTACCAACAGGTGTGGGATTGGGGGTGCAACCAGATTAGGGATTATAACATTGTAGGATCGGTGTTGCTTAGTTGATTACCTTCGGAGACGTGACCGCGATGGTTCAGCATGTTATAACACCTGTTCAGGATTACCCGCACACAGACCATGCAGAGACGTTTGAAGGAGCAGGTGCTCTACCGTGGAGGGGCGGGTGGGGAGTTAATTTTGCGTGATCGTCAGTGATCAAAAAGGGGCACTCAGAATATCAAATGGGAGACACTTTCAAACCCCCCCCCCCAAACAAATATCTCTCCCTGTCAATTTAAATTCAAATAGATTAATTCAAATTGTAGAAGTCAGTGTTTATCACTTTCATTTATACCATTTTCTTTACATATTGACATGTTTGTTTATTTAATAAGCAGCTGTTTCTTAAGGTAATTATGCTGAAAGCAACTAATGAATCACTTGTTTCAGTACAGACAGTCCTCGGCACGTCCGACTTTAGGCAGCTAGTGCTTACAAACGGACTTGGCATAAAGCCTGTTATATAAAATATTCTATTAAAAACAATGACAATAACAAACCTCACCTTGTGATGCTCCTGGAAAACACTGTGTGACTTCAGCGGTCCGTTGGCTCGAGGTACAGGACAATACATACTGTATTATAATAATAATAATGATTATTATTATTATTATTATTATTATTATCTACGTTTTTCTGATTTACAAATTCGACTTGAACACAAACTCAGATCTCATTCATAACCTGGGAAATGCCTGTAATAATGTATATACTTACTAAGTATTCTCAAGTCATTGACAACCCAATTGACAAATATGACCAATTCACACAAAATTGGTTATGACGTAAATTTAGCCTGTGCTTTCTCTGTGTAGGTTGAAGTGTAAATACTTACGTTGATATATAAATTCATTTACGGAATATCAAACGGAGATGTTTAACTGCTAATTATTGATGATTTATTATCAAATAATATTTATTAAACATTTTAATTTATTACCAGTCAATATAATTTTTAAGTTCTAGTGTGGCTCTGTAACGCAATTCATTGTCAGCACGGTACAAAAGAATTTATTTCTGTTGGGGGTGTGTGTGTTAGTGGGGGGGGGGGATCTCTCTCAATTAAGGGAAAGAGTCTCCCTCCCAGGGCCCTGGTGGGGGGTGGGGGGAGCCTAATCAGGCATGCGGGATGTTGACCTGCGCGGCAGGAATACACTCATTTACCCGCTCCGACGGGCTGACAAAGCGATCGCTGGGGGCAAGGGGGGTGGATGCTTGATGAGCCCCTAATGAAGTTAAGGTGGGTATTTTGATAACGGCCCCCAGTCTGCGGGCCCCTGCTGCCCATCTCATCAGCTCCGTCTGGGGGGGGCATTTATGGGCTGGCAGGGGTCTCTGTGAAAGGAACAAAACACACATTATCTGCCACAGTTTAGCTACGAGCTCACATGTACACAACCAAACAATCCTGTAGATCTCCATTTTTCTTGTTAAATTTCTATTTCAAATGTACAGACATCCCATCTAGGCTGCCCCCTGCACTTCAGGTTCCAGGTGCACCATGAACCTGAATTAGATACGTGATCCTGGCAGATGGATGGATGAATGATGAGTTCCTATTTAAATTGTAACATGACTGTTATTTGAAGGAAAGCACACATGATCTATAACTCTATATGTCATACACATAACTCATCATATACACTACATGGACTATTGGGACACCTGGTCATTACACCTACAGGAACGTTTATGACGTCCCATTCTAAATCCATAGGCATCAATATGGAGCTGCCCCCCCTTTACAGCCATAACAGCTGCCACTCTTCTGGGGAGGTTTTCTGCAAGATTTTGCAGTGTGTCTGTGGGAATTTTTGCTCATTCATCCAGAAGAGCATTTCTGAGGTCAGGCACTGGTATTGGATGTGAAGGCCTGACTCACAATCTCCGTTTTTGTTCAACCCAAAGGTTTTTGATGAGGTTGAGGTCAGGGCTCTGTGTGGGCCAGTCTAGTTCTTCCTCACCAACCCACCCAACCATGTCTTTATGGACCTTGCTTTGTGCACTGGGGCACAGTCATGCTGAGACAGAAAAGGGCCTTCCCCAAACTGTTCCCACAAAGATGGAAGCATAGAATTGTGCAAAATGTCTGGGTATGCTGAAGCATTAAGCGTTCCCTTCACTTGAACTAAGGGTCCTAGCTCAACCCCTGAAAAACAACCATTACTATTAACCAAACTATACCATTATCCCTCCTCCTCCAAACTTTACAGTTGGCACAACGCGGCCTGGCACACCCAGACTCATCCATCAGGTGATGGGGCAAAAATCATCTTCAAATTAAAAAGTTTGCACCTGATCCCAGTATATAGAAAATAGCATTCAGTTTCCAAATCTTAACTTGGAAAAAATAGTTACCCTTCAGTCTGTGAGAAAATTATTAATGTAGCACCTGTACAAATTATGTCACTTAGAAATAATGACATCAACAAGAATTTAACCATTATAACAGAAAAGTTCATTTAATCCAGAGTAAAAATGGTTTACTTGAGGGGACATGAATAGTGTAGTAGTACACACTTTCTTAATGCATTAATTAACCAGTAACTAAGTGTTAGTTACATACTGATCCTATGCTTGTTCACCATTAATCTATCATAGCAATTCATGTATACCATTCAGGCATTATATTAGTTAACAGTTAACTAACTAGTTAATAATGGTAAGTACCTGAGGGGGCA